TATATTTGGCTTGTTAGCTCAGTTGGTAGAGCACTGCACCGGTATCGCAGAGGTCATGGGTTCAAATCCCGTACAGGCCTGAGTTTTTTTCAGGCCTTCTTTTCACTACTACTTAAGTAGTGTTCATTACTGCGAAGATCGCTTTCATTCACGTTTTCACAATGTTCACGCAACGCTGTAGTTGATTTCTACAAATTTTGAAATCAAATCCTACTCAAGATGCTGGCTTACATTTTTTGGTCGTTTTCAAAATCTCGAAATCTGAATTCTGACCTTTACCCTCGGAAATCAACAGGCTCAAATGAGAAAGATTTCAGGGCGTATCTTAAGCCAAATTTTTCCAATACTTTTTATGAGCATTCTAAACAACACATAATTTCACGTCGTTCATTTCACCTTTTTTTTTGTTGTTTTTTTACTTTTGTTTTGTTTTGTTTTGTTTTTTTTTTTAATTTGGTTGGATAAACTAAAATTGGGAAGGAGTCTCAACAATATTTAAAAATTATTGTGTATACCAAACCGAAAAAAATGTAGCAAATAGGTAAACTCAAACAATTTTCAATACACCTAAAGTGTTGAAAAAACAAAATAAAAAATAAAAGCAAAATTGTTTCTAGATTCTTCTACTCCTCCCAAGTTGGAGCGAGGTAACCCCTAAAGTCAAGGAACGAGCCTTTTTCTCCTTTTTTCCGGACTGTTCTGTAATTGCTAAAATTTCAGCTCACCTGCGTTTGTCATGGCGCTATTTGATTTACCTCTTTGCAAAGAGCATAAGTTTTCTCCAAGAAAAGATGTATCTTCCAAAATTTACCTCACTCATAACGTGTGGCTTTGTAGCTCAGTTTGCAGCATCGCCCAATTAGTATCTCGAATCCCGTCCGAGCCTGAATTTTTTTTTAGTCAACTTTTCTGCAATTGGTAAAATTGCAGCTCACCTGCGAGGATCATGTATTTATTTGATTTTAATCCGCAAGTCAAAAGAAACTCATTTCATCACAAATACATCATATCGAAAAGTCGCGCAGTAAAATGAGCCTTCGTTTCGACAATAAAATGTTTCTAAATGTTTTGTTATACGCACTTAAGAAAAAACATTTGAAGGACAATGACCAGAATATAACTGAAGCAAATATTCAGGGGCTATGGAGCGTCCTATAAAAGTAAATAGGCATAAGGGCGGAAGAGTTGACATTTACTTCCGTAGCTCAGTTGGTAGTAATATTCTGGGAGGCCTGGGTTCAAATCCCGTCCGAGCCTGAATTTTTCTTAGTCTTCCTTTTCTGCAATTGGTAAAATTGCAGCTTACCTGCAAGGATCATGTCTTTCTTTAATTTTACATCGGCAGCTCCAAAAAAATTAATTTTTTACAAATACACAGCTTAAACTTGCGCAAAGAAGAGAACCTTTGTTTTGACAATATACTGTTTGTAAATGATTGAAGTGTAATAAACAAAATATCCCCTGTTTGACCTAACCATGTGTTCTCCAAGTGGAAGGGGAGAGGTGGGAATGTTTATTTTGAGCAGTCATTGTATGAAAAAAAGTCCGAATTGATTATTTTTTCCTGATAATTGCTTACGTTAGGGGAAAGGCTCCATGAAAGGTGAATTTAAATGGGATCAGTAACGATTGAAATCGGATTTTCAATGCAGCCGATCGCATGGGCCAGTGGGCAATTAAAATTTAGAACCGAGTTTTGGTAAATACGCGATGTGATTTGTTCGATTTTGATCTGAATATTACGAACAAACAATATGTTCTTAAAGTGGGAGGGGGAAGTGGGAAGGAGGAGGTTGGAATTTGTTGATTTTGCTATTCTTGTTAACTTCAAATTTCTTTTCGACTGGCTGAGTTTTGAACTCTCCATCTTTCGGTAAATTGCGTCTCTCTGAACCCTTTTTGAAGCTAGTGGGATTAACAAAATTTTAATAGAAACTGAATCCCACTCCCACTAATAACAACGGCGATGGGATTTCTATTAAAATTTGAAACGGGGTCTTGGCAAATATGCCAGTTGGGATATAGGATTTGGATCCTGCCATTATGAGCTGTAAACTGGCCCCTCTGCAACGCATGGACTTAAGGGCAATTAAAATTTGAAACCAAGATTTAGTAAGTACGTGAGCTGAGATATTGGATTTGAGTCCCAACATTACAAATTGCTATAGTTTACACGTGTGACTGGGTCTGTATAAGCTTCTTAAAAATAAGTCTCATGGGATAAGCAATAAATGTTGTTTACTTACAGTTGAATCAACTTGGTGTTGTAGCTGAAGACTCCACGTGGTAGCTCTGCTATCTGATTGTCTCCTAAATACCTACGTAAACGATATTAAGAAAGACAATAAAGCAAATTAATCATCTCATGAAGTTTTAAGACTTACAGAGTTTGCAAAGTACATCTGTAGGAATAGAAATTAACTCTTGACTTCTTTCCAGACTCCTCTTCTACTGAGGGAGACCCTTGGAATTTCGGCCAAATCCTTCGAGACCTTAGTTACCGGTCATCATTTATCGCTTAAGTGGCCGGAAGGGAAGAGTCAGAGGATTTGGTTTAAAATTGCAGCTCGCCTGCGAGAATGGTGCCTTTCTTTAAATTTACATCGGCAGCTCCAAAGAAATTAATTTTTTTTTAAAAAAATACACAGCCTAAACTTGCGCAAAGAAGAGAACCTTAGTTTTGACATAATACTGTTTGTAGATGATTCAAGTTTAATAAACAAAATATCTCTTTTTGACCTAACAGTGTGTTCTCTAAGTGGGAGGGGGGAGGTGGGAATGTTCATTTTGAACATTCATTTTATGGAAAAAAGTCCGAATTGATTATTTTTTCCTGATGATTGCTTGCGTTAGGGAAAGGCTTTGTGAAAGGTGAATTTTAACACGAAGGCGCGTTATAAATAGGTTGGCTCCTCCCCTTTGTTTCAGCTCAAATGCAAAAATCATCCAATATGGCGACCAACGTTCCCACCATGAGTGAAACGGTCTGCATAGAAGACACACTTTAAGTGTTTTTTTTTTGTGTCAATAAATTAGAAGATATTGCGTCTTGTTGACTCTCATTCCCATAATTGAGCTCATTTTGATATTAATTGGCACTAACTTATCGTTCGGCCGCTCAAAGCGCTATCTGCGGTCGACGAGACACTCGCACAGTTGTCTTTTCAAAATTCGCGCCGTGTAACTTCGGCTTATGTCCCAAGCCCCTGATACAAACTGGTTCTTCGAGCCTTCAGATTATTCCCATTGAAACTAGCGGATTCATGACACATTCTATGCGCAATGCTCAGACTATTGTTATCTGTGACAATTCTGTGACAAGACCTCTGAAGTATGGACGATTTCACAAGTAAGTGCCATTTTGAGACAGAATTTCACAACTCTAGTTCAGTTTGGGGAATAGTCTTGGCTGTCGCTGCTCGAAAGATATATTTATTGGGAAATTTATTCGTTATGGCTGAGGGAAATAATCCATCTGTACCCAAGAAAAAGCGTCCAACGGATCGAGGTCCTCAGTTCTCGTTCAACATAGAAGTTCCTCGAACTCAGGAGAGCAGACTTCTCGGCATCAAAGACCGCATAAAGATGGCCAAAGGCTCGTTGAATCTTACAAAAGCGACGACAAGCACACAGAATGCAGATTTGATGGAAGCTCTTCTGTTAGCTCTTGAGGAGAAAATTGAGAGGAAACGACTGACATCGAGCGACTGAGCTTCTCATCAACGGGAAGTCCGAACCCATCTCTTCTACACCATCCATAACTGCACGGTTTTCAATTCTTTCAGCTTTTTCCACTCCATCTTTGCGTATTTCTTTGCCTTTTGCTGATCCTTTTTCTCCAATTTCTCCTCCACAAGCAGAACGTACGTCACAAAGAATGCAAATCACTGCATCTTCAGTAGAGAATGACTCCATATATCTCTGCAGTAAAGAATCTCTGCGAACTCTGTTTTTTTTTTTCTCTAATACGCTAACGACATCATGTTGTTATTGTGGAAAACCCTTCGATTGCGAGTCACTTGTCTTCAATCGACAGAGTCGTGTAGTGTCGGTGACAATTTCATGTGTTGGTGGAGATTCTTTCAAGTGGCTCTCCTCCCCTATCATGGGAGGATCTCCTCCAAAGTACTATGTAAATTTGAGGTGAGCACTCTTTTATTTTTGCTCGAAATTTACAGAAATTTGTTATCTCGGTATTTTACAGTTTTTGTTTTTTGTAACTGGTCACTTCTCTGTCTCTCTTTCATAGATTGATTCATGGAGTATTGTCCTGTGGCTTGACAGAGACAGAATACACAAGTTTCTGTCAAGCAGCCAACATCAGGTCAGAGGGAGAAAAGACCTCCGACACAGGTTAGCAATGCATATGTGCAGATGCTCTGAAAATCATGTAGTCTTTCTCCTTGTAAGGAGAAGGCAGTCAACAGCAGTTTGCAGGTTGCTAAATCATGAATGTTCTACCAAGATAGCTCAAACTGACTGAACTGTTCCTTCTTTGGTTTGTGCCTTACCAGATGCAATTCTAAAATACTTCTATTTTTAATCACTTCAACAGTCTTGAAAAAGCTCAGTTACTTGACAGTCATGAAGAGGGTCTCCAATGAGTCGATGTTGGCTACTCAAGAACAAGTGAAGAGTAACCCTGCATATGCTGTGAATGGAGAGGTACAAGTTGTCATTTTAATTTCATTTTGTCTTTGGCCACATACTTATACACCTGCCATACTCGGAATATATTATGTAGACTGGCACATACAAAAATATAAAATCTTATATCAGATTGTAAACCTTGAAAATATCTGTGAGTAGAGAAATGTGACCATTTTTATGTTTTGATTTCTACCATTTCTTCCTGCAGTGAGTTATAACAGATGCAAGGCATGATTCCAGTCGATCAACAGCACACACAACAGTGTCAGCCCTTTCTTTCTGGTAAGATGGTTTCTACTTGATCTCTTTGTATGATATGTTGAACCTCTGGTATGTTGAACACAAGGTGTTAGCAGTTGTCAACTGGAGTAGGGCCAATGAAACTTCAGCAGTAAGCTGTGAGGTCCCTATGACAAAAGAGCTGCTGACTTATCTCTCTGAGACACAAGGTATGATAAATTTGCATCCTCAATAATATCATATCGCATATGTAATACAAATATGGAGGTCAGAAGTATCTTTTATAATGCAGCTAAAGTAATTCTTTTTTCAGGGTTCCATGTTGCAGAGGTGGCATATGACTTTGTATTACAGCTAAAAACATGGATCTTGTCAAAAGGAATGCTTAATTCCTTTGACTCTTGGCATGGTACTCAGTACACACTTGTATTTTTTGGCTCATTTTGTCTTGATGATTATGACTATTTCTTGAAAGTTAGCATTTTATTGGTATTAATATTTTTTTTTAATTTTTATTTTCAGGTGAAAAGTCTGTGACTAAAGCAATGAAGGAAGTTGCCTCAGGGGCCCAGAGGGATGAGGGCTCAAAGTGGTTTTTTGAATTGTTAGACAAAGGTAAGATATCTCTCTTATGAGAGTCATCAAAAGCTATATTCTCTCCACAATTACCTGCAGATGTCAAATTCCTTCTTGATATAAGATGACTATAATGGAATATAATAATTCTGAATATTTTACAGTGAAAAGTACAAGGACTCTTGTATACTTCTGCATGAAGAACAGTCCACCCAATGAAGAAGAATTTCAGGGTACACTGTTGAATGTAGTTGACCATTACCAGGTAATTTGAGTGACTGTTTATTGAGAACATAGTATTTTGTTTTCATTTCTGTAAGTACCTTTTGTTGTGTTATTCTAGTAAGATATGACATGATCATTACCTCAAAGATTGCACATATTTCTTTAATAATGGTGAACAAGAGACATTATACTTACTATAATTATTACTACTGATTTATTAATCTATTTTTCTATAACTTGGTGTATTTATTACTCAGGGAAATCATGTCAGATGCCATGCGGAGTCACGGTGCAAGCAGAATGGCTATGTGATGAGCAAAAAACTTTTAACTAAACCTGAAGTAGTAGCTGCACGCAGGGAAGCCATTATGGGCACTTCAATTTATGGGCATGCATCGGACTACATGCGGGTAATTAATTGACGCATGCTGTATGTTTATGTTTCTTTGCATGAAGAAGTTTATCTCTTCTTCCAAATTAATGATGTTGAGGTAAGGGCCATAAATGAGTTGAACAAATTCATTTTCCAGTTAAAGAAAAATCACCCATAATTTGTTGCCTTCTTCAGTGCAGGGAAACATATTGGATTGAGTCTCTCCATTCAGTGATGCTCATTTATGCTGCAAAGCGGATTCATTATGGGGATGACACATACAACATGTGCATGGAGTTAGCCATTCTTGATTGGGTAAGAAACTTATGTTGTTAATTCTGCTCAATTACTTTGGCACTTTTTGGATTCACTGCCTTCTCTTGCTCATTGACTCATTTGTCTTACAGAATGAAAATGTGAATCGAGAAGCATCGTCTCTACAGATGTACCAACATACCAGGCATCCAAACCGCTTGGCAGAGACCAGGGTGCTTACTTCAAAGACATTTAATTTCAGAGAAACTATCTAGTCTACCTTTTTTAATATAAACAAATGATGTCTCTTCTGTTTTCCATTGCACCACAGTTTCTGTGATAATTACAACTAGGAGCCCAAATGTTCAGTATTAATATGTGAGGTCATTAGGGAGGACCAATTCTAACAACTGCTGGTACCAAGCAATGAAAACATGAATATTAGGTTTGACACAAGGTATTTCCAAGCAGACTCATTCTCTGTTTCCTCCTGTTACTTTTCTTTGCACTGTATATCTTTTCCTAACCTATAGGAAAGTCACTATAATTTGCTGTGTGGACATTGTAAAATGGACCATAAAAAAAAAAAAAAAAAAAAAAAAAAAAATTGGGTACTTGGGCTCTCTTTGAGGTGGGCATTTGTATGAGAATTTTATTATTCCCTTTTATGCCCCATATAGGCAATACCAGGAGGGTTAGGAAACCTTGAGCTCACATCTTTTATAACACAATTGGACATCCTTTCCCGCACTACATTAACGTGGTCCCCCAGTTCGACTTTTCTAGCCTGGTAAACAGGGTCTTTCCAGAGCCCACATTTGTTCAATGCTCTCCAGTACGTCTTCTAATCTTTTCTACGTCGCACGTGATTTTGAATATGTGCTTCGCGATAGCCAAGGTATTCGCGACTGTCGGTCGTTACACATGGCGTTTGCCAACAGTAAATACACATTTCGAACTCGTCCCCTCTTGCATCAGCTATTGTGGAGACAAAGTGAAATAACTGTTAGAGCGAAAGCGCAACTGAACGGTCATGAAGTCTGATATGATCGTACAACTAGTCTTCCCGCCTACATTTTATTTTGGACAATTTTTATGTACATTTTTCATGTTTAATTGACACGTATGCCCATGGTGTAGCATAAAATATCGCAATAAATATAACTTGTAGTTCTAAAGAAATAACTCCTTTCAAAATATTCTTAGGCAGGACAAAACATTCTTAGGCGGGACAAAACATTCTTAGGCGGGACAAAACATTCTTAGGCAGGACAAAACATTCTTAGGCAGGACAAAACGTTTCGTAGGTGTCACGCAAGGCTGCATTTCGGAAAATGAAGGCATCAGAAGGAAGCAGTGTTAGACATGAACTGTCGTATCATACGAAAAAAAATCTGTGGTTTGCAAGTATATTGTAACTAGTATTTCCTAGTTAGAAAAAAATCTGCAATTAGTTACTTCTAGAAAATTATTGCGTTACGCGAGTGTTTCAATCTTGGTGATACATTATCACAGAGTTGGTTGGTATCGAACTGTAGTCCTAAGTTACCTTTCTAATATATTGTTCCAAAGGTTAAAGATCATTCAGTATTAAAGATTTTAGATATATGAAAATTCATATATTTGCGCTGCGGTGGAGACATGAAATTAAGAGATCCTCGCAGCTAAGAACACTACTGAAACGAGTAGTTGTAAATAGGACCCGAAAAAGATTCAGGCCCGCACGGGATTTGAACCCATGACCTCTGGGATACCGGTGCAGCACTCTACCAATTGAGCTAACAAGCCAACTGGGAGCTGGTCAATGAATTGGGTCCAAATAAACATCCAAGTGAATGAAGATTTTAGATATATGAAAACTCATATATTTGCGCTGCGGTGGAGACATGAAATTAAGAGATCCTCGCAGCTAAGAACACTACTGAAACGAGTAGTTGTAAATAGGACCTGTAAAAGATTCAGGCCCGTACGGGATTTGAACCCATGACCTCTGGGATACCGGTGCAGCGCTCTACCAATGTTACTGTTTTGGGAGTGTATGTCAATGAAATTCCAAGTGAATTGATTATGAAAACCATAATTAGAGCCAACGAACACTTGAAATCGGATTTGTAAATAGGTTAAAAGATATCAGGCCCGTAAACTTGAATGACCTCTGGGATACCGATAATAGCTGGTCAATGAATTGGGTCCAAATAAACATCCAAGTGAATGAAGATTTTAGATATATGAAAATTCATATATGAATTTCATTCATTGACCAGCTCCCAGTTGGCTTGTTAGCTCAATTACTCGTTTCAGTAGTGTTCTTAGCTGCGAGGATCTCTTAATTTCATCATTCAGTATTGTTGTAATCATATTATACTTAGATTTAAAAAAAAAAAGAAAAAGAAATCGCACCATTTGTGGAGGAAGCCCGTACAGATGATTCATTTGGAGACATCGATGCCTGGACATGTCCAAGTGAATCGGTGGTTGGCGGCGGTTCACTCGCGCGCTCCAGAACTTCGCCTGCAGTGGTCGCTCTACTTTTATTTTTCTTCCGTTGGGTTAACAGCACTTCCCCTTCGCATTATTGAAGAAGTGCCTTGAACATTTCTTCATCTTTTCTTTTTATTCTAACGGTCATCTACATCCAGTATTTAAGAACAGACATGAAATTACGCCATGGCAATTTTAGGCGACGGTGAAGCGAATCATTTCGAATTTCAAATTTACCGCCACAAATGGAGAAGGTTTCGATCGGAAGAAGGTACTACAAACCTCAAAAAATTCTTCCATTGTGATGAAAACGTAGAAATTTACCGAGAAATGCGCCTCTGGTCAGTGTCTTGCATTGGCTGCAGCTCAAGCTGTTTTGGAGTGTATGCCACGACGGTTGATTGACAAATGATTCAGAGGGACCTAAGGCACCTCTCCTTTTATGGCGCACCTTCGTGTAACGATTGAAATCGGATTTCTGGTTAATTATGAAACTGTAAATTGATAATAAAGGTAAACTTTTTAAAAATGTTTTGTGATTGATGTATTACTTCGGATTGAGTGATGATATGGTCGCAGTAAATTAGATTATCGTAACGCAATTTACATCCATACCACCATTTTCGGTTCCTTCCCGCAGCCAGCGAGTGCCCCCAAGGAAAGCCTTTACCCAGAAAGAGTTTTTAAGAGTTGTCCCCGTCCGTCCGTTCATATATTTGTGAAGGCAAAACTCTGTTTTCACATTTTTCAGAAACAAATGACATAGCTATAGCCAGTTTTGTTCAATTACTTTGCCTTTTATCATTTGATGTTTTTTTCTGCAGAGATGTTCCGTCATCGTTCTGTCTAGTACGATTATGCACCAGTGCCAGTAACGGTATACGATTAAAAACTTTGCTGTTCTCTTGCATACGAATCTTAAGTTTCTGCCCATTGTTTAACTTTCTCTATGTGCTTACCCGTGCCTTTTAACTAACACTCGATAAAAACCAACAGAGTTTTCAAAGGGAGGTTTTTGCAAGAGTTAAGTGGACTAAGTGAGGGCTTGCATGACCCAATTAGCATAATTGCAGTTATGGTCGCTCGACGGTCATTTTTTAAAATAAGCACAATTGCGTGAAAAAGAAAAAGCAAGTCTAAATATCCATTTGGCTCTGATTTTGCCTTTATTTTTACCTAAGTTGATTTTTTCTGCTGAAGTGAAAACAATTTTTAATTACCGCAATGTCTGTTCCCTTTGTGACGTATGAGCAAAACAATTAAATTTACTTATTACACCCAGTTTGAAATCACTGATGGTCCCTGTAATCTGATTGGCTCTAATTGGTGCGATTCATTCACAAATTGCACCATTTTTTGCTTTAAATCGCATCTTTTCCCCAGCCAATGAGGAGGCTACACTAAAAACAAAACAACCAATCAGACTTCAAGGCTTGTTTAAAGTAACCGATCATATTGCAGGAAGATGAAAGACATGGAGTATCATATGGCAAATTTTGCAACTTTTGTTTCCAAAACTTTTATTTTTTCCTCCCAAAAACTGGATGAATTTAATTTCAAACCAGCTCAGTATTGTATTAATAAAATATTTGAACTGACCAAGTCCTGTATTTGGGCGATTTCAAAACGGATGTAATAAAGTGGTAATTGAACCTCGTGTTGTGGAACATGGAACTTGCTCCAAGGAATGAATTTGCCTCCTCCAATTTTGTAGCCGGATCTCCATACTCTCACACCTTCCTCGCCATTCTGAACGTTGTTGACAAAGCTCACAACATCTCATTTCACTGGCTTTTTGATGGAAGACAAAGGAGGTCTGCACGACACTGCTTTTACTCCAGGGACACCTTCAAATGATTCTATTGCCTCCTGCATTTGAGATACCGACCCTATATCGTGGCTTAAATTCAAATGGATGGCCATATGGGATTTGATCGTTGCTGGCTGTAACCAGGGTTAAAGCGTAGTGGTAATACCCGGCGTTGTCTTGTCTAAGATAAATGGATTGTAAATGAGGCATGACATCCTTCAGTCGACGAAAGACGTCGTTAAGTAAGGCAAGAACTGCAGAACTGTCCTGGTTACACGTCTCAAATAAGTGTACAAATGTCATAATCTTAATCTTGCAATCATTTCCCTTTCTCGTCGCAACCGTGATATGCCATGGCAGATCTCTCTTACCAAACCAGTCTGTTTGGCTCTCCCTAAATTTCTTTGGTAGATATTTCATTGCCCGGTCTAAGACCAGTAAGGCAGAAGTTTCATCTAGCTCATCGATGAGGTCTGGTCTGGACTCGTCCTGGTTTGTTAAACGCAGTATATGCGCTTTCCAGGAATTTATGCATTGTTTGGACTGTAAAGTCACAAAAGCCCAATCTTCTTTCTTATCGGTTGTGCCTCCCACTTCCTATACAGCTCTCTCGATTTCTAGAGAGATCAGGGCTGACATCCCTACAATCATTTGGAATTCTGTAGGTATTCTGGGTCCTTCGCCAAGCTCAGAACGGTGGAATGGACAAATTGTTAAGGCGTTTATATCCTATGCACTCATGTAAAAAATACCTGCTCGGGCAAGGTTAAGTTCACTCTCGTTCTTAACTCCGGCAAAACACCAAGCACTTTTATGACCCTGTAAATCCTTATTGCACGACACCAAGGGAACCACCTCAAATAATTTACTCCTGTCTTGTCGGTCGTACGAGCAAGCACTTCTAACTATAAACTTGAATGAACAAGAAGCTTCCATTTCATTCACAAGCGAGACTTCCGATTCAAAGGAGGTAGGAAATAATTCTTTTTCTTAGTTTCACGTGAGAAAAATCGAATGGAGGATTGTTTATTAAGTTTTGTTAATTCAATTAATTGTCTCGCTTTTAAGTAGAAAAGTCAACAAACATCATAGTTTTACTCACGCAGAAAAAAAATAACACGAGTACAAATTTAGGAAAGCTCAGAGCTAAATGGATATCTAGACACATTATTTCTTTTCCTCGTATTTGTGCCTATTCAAATGACGTCGACCGACCCCACTCGTAGGTCCAAATTATTCTGTCACACGAGCACGACGACTCGTACCGCAATTATGCAAATTAGGTCATGCAG